AAACAAATGTTACAATAGCGGTTTCAACAAAGCAAGGAAAATGCAGCAGTACTGACTGTTCATCTGTTAATTTCAATGGTCTTTCTAGCGGCAATTTGCCTATTTCTCGAAATTTATTAAGCTTGATTTATGAAACATTCATTATGACGGAAATAAATTCCTTAGCGGCTAATAGCTCTCTTTCATTCTTCAGTCTGACGCTGTTTATGTCGCAAATGAATTAATCGAATACATACTGTTGGATTGGCCTGCATTCGTTCTTCTTATGCAAAATCTGATTTTTTAGATACAAATAAAGGTTTGGATTGTTTGATTTTTAATCCAAGTGGTCTTGCTTGCTTGTGTATTTTGCCTTAACATAGTGACACCTTCACTAAGATGACGGGAGTGTACTTGCTCTGTACTGTTTAAGAGGTGGTCAAGAGAGTAAGTAACATACCTTTGATCAGTCGGTTGCAATAATTAATTTTACCACTGCCCAGTTATTATCTGTAGTTTAAACCACGTTGAAGATTTGATAACAGTCATATGAGGCATATTACTCGACTGTAGTGATAATAACAGTAGTTTTAATATTTGTAGTTTGGCTGATTGCGTGAATCGTTTGACACCGTTTCGGTCAGTTACCAGTCCCTATAGACGCTGCAAGATGACCCGGAAGAACGGTCACACGTTTATAAGCTGAAGGACGGTAACCAGTTTGCTCACATTCTAACATGTTCAGATTATGCATGTGCATTTCAGTTGTTAGTTTCGGTCACTAGTGCTAAGCAGAACAGAAAGCGACAGTTACCCTACATAAATGATCTCTGACCTGTTAAAATCGCGTCTCAGACTTGCCTTGAACGGTTGTGACTGCCGTCACGTGGTCTACGTTTTCTCCGTTCCTTCATCATGACATAAGCCCTCACTCTACAAGGGGCTGAATAAAACTGAAAGACTGATTTTGCCAATTAATATACAATGTATAATTCTCCAACCTAAAGCTTCCAGAGTAAAACACTCTCGAAGAAGGTTCAATTCCCTTCTAATCCCGCTGTATGAAATTATGCAAGACGCTGACGTCTTAGGTCTTACGACAGGTTTCCCAATTCGATGGTCTGCAGTACTTGTTTGTGTGTGACTGTGTTCCACAACATTCCATTCATATTTCCGCCTAAAGAAAGGTGATGGAAGAAGGCTATGCATTGGTGCATAAGAGGAGTAAATTTCCCTAGTTTCAGAATGAGGCTGATTTTTTCCGCCATTGTCATTGCCTCTTTTGAAACCTCAATCTGATTTGGAACGCTTCCGCCATATTGAGTGTAGGCGGTGAGCGTCTACATGCGAAGTTAAGGGGCACTATGCGTTGGCATTAACAGGGAGTAACAAATTAAACAAATTCTGAAAGGACAAAGATATTGGTGATGGCGCGAAGCTCTGCATGAAGAGGCCCTGCATTTCGAGCATCTTGCTTTATGACTTGGAGACGGC